ACACACACTCACAGACACACACTCACACAGACATACACACTCACACACACACACACACTCACACACACACACATACACACACACTCACACACTCACACTCACACACACACTCACAGACACACACTCACACAGACATACACACTCTCACACACACTCACACAGACACACACACACACACACACTCACACAGACACACACACACACACTCACACAGACACACAAACACTCTGTCTCTCACACACACACACTCACACAGACACGCAGACACACACTCACACAGATATACACACACACATAGACACACACACACAGACGCACTCACACAGACACACGCACACGCACACACGAACCTTTGACGTGGTTGGCAGGTTTGCAAGGTTTTTTAGTATTGATGCATGGGATGTTGGCACCATTGGCTCTGCCACTGTTTTACTGGAATACTTTTTGGAATATTTAATAAATAGTTACACGTTTCACACGTACGGCAGAACTGGGTAAGGATGACAGATTTCCTTCCCAGCGGATTTCCTTCACCATTAGGTTAGCTTTATTGAATTCCCAAATTCCATCATTTTCCGTGGTGGGATTCAAAGCCATATCACCAGAGGATTAAGATTTCTAGTGCGATGACATCACCAGTACAACGCTGCAAAATATGGTGGTACAGTAGCTCAGTGGTTAGCACTGCTGCCTCACAGCACCAGGGACCCAGGTTCGATTCCAGCCTCGGGCAACTGTCTGTGTGGAGTTTGCACATTCTCCCCGTGTCTGCGTGGGTTTCCTCCGGGTGCTCTGGTTTCCTCCACAGCCCACAGATGTGCAGATTAGGGTGGATTGGCCGTGCTAAATTTCCCATTGTGTGCAGGGAAGTGCAGGCTAGGTGGGTTAAGCATGGGAGATACAGGATTGTAAAGATGGGGTGGGTCTGGGTGGGGTGCTCTTTAGACGGTGAGTGTGGACTCGATGGGCTGAATGGCCTGCTTCCATACTGTAGGGATTCTATACCAACTGCTGAAAGTTTTAATGTTAGCAATACTGTAACCTTTACATCCCAACATTTTTTGTTAATTGTTGACATCAAATCCCAGCAGCTGCTATCATGGGATTCGAACCTGGGTCCCCCAGAACATTAGCCTGGGTTTCTTTGGATTCTCAGTTCCAGTGACATTATCACCACAGCACCGCTTCCATGCTGCTGCGTGGGGGACATAGAGAATCCCTATGGATATGTGTCCCAGGTTTAGACTTGGTGCTCATCCCATCTCAACAGTGCAGATTTCCTTCACCCTCGGGATCTTCGGCACACTGACCCAGCCGAGTCAGAGCAAAGCAAAGTGGCTGAATTTAGCAATAGGAGCCCGGAACGTGCTCCATGTGAGGTGTTGTGGATGTGGCATATTGCAGAGAGTTGTCTTCATTTCTCTCGGGGTTAAATGCAGAGCCTCAACTAACCAGCAACCGCTGAGAAGCCTTGGGTGAAATGAAGTGCCTTTTGAGGTTGACCTGCAACAACACAAAACAAAAACAAAAAAGCTCAAAATCTGTTCTTTCTTTCAGAGTGGTTTCACCCCGCTCCATATAGCTGCTCATTATGGAAATATCAACATAGCAACCCTGCTACTGAATCGAGGTGCTGCTGTAGATTTCACAGCGAGGGTAAGATCTCAAATTATGATTCAGCGTCTTCCAATTGCATTGTATTTCTCCTGCACCTTCTTCATATTTATCCGTCTCCCCTGAAATGTCAAGTTGAAGAAGTAACTTGTTTGTTCTAACTTGAAAATTAGTGGCATGTGGTGTGAGAGGATATGCAATGAAGTGGTATTGCTTGATGTCAGTTAATAAACGTGATGTTTTTACACACATACGAATGTAGATATATATGTATATGTATAAAATAACAAGACAATTGAGGAAATGTTTCAGAAAACCACTCCACCTCATGGCCAGAGTCTGCCACTACCCTAACAGATGAGGATGACATTCAATAGGAAATGCTCACAAAGTAGTTGACAGTCTCTAGCAAAAGTATGACAAATAGTTTGGTGAAACAAGGTAAATCTACTCAATGGTAACTGGGTGCCACTTGAGTGTCGTGTGGTACGGTATTTGATTAAGCAGAGAATGACATGTTATGTGTCCAGTTGTTGCAAGTAGCTGATGACTTTGGGCCTACGTTCTCCAATGGCAGTCTGCCAACTCCCCAGGATTACGCTGTTGTCTCCAGGAAATGAAGATTAAACTCCAGGACACTGCTGGGAATAACTGTGGAGAAAAACCCACTGGGTATTAGAATAGTGTCTGAGTCAGTGTGTGCTGTTGTTTTCTTAAAATCCACCCCTCAAATGTCATCTCAGAGTGAGGCAGGGAGCAGAGAGAAAGCTGACGTCAATCTCAAGCAACAGAAGACGAAGGATGTAAAGCTGCAGAATGTAAAGCCAAGACGCCAGCACAATAGAAAGAGTTTATTTTATTTTGAAGTCTGCCTCTCTCTCCTCTGCTTCATCCGTTTTCTTATCTCGCCGCCTCCCTCTCCCAACCAGTGCTCCTGTGGCCTCCTCTTCTTTTCTCCCCGCCCCTCCCCAAGTCTTGCTGTCCCTCCTGGGCAAGAGGGAGGCTGCTTCCAGCGGAATAGCCGACTCCTAGTGCCTTCTGCTCCCATCAGAGCCTCAGCTCCCCTGGATCTACAACAGCAGCGTATGCACTGATGATGGTGACACTGGTGCAGCATGGGAATGCAATGACGTCAACAGCGCATTTGCTGATGCGTCCTGAAACCTGCCCCATCACAGCCAGGTGATCTCCCCTCCCATGTCTGTCCATGCACGGCGGCCATTTTGAGAATCACTGATTTGTTAGGCACAGAAGGAGGCCATTTGGCCCAATTATGCTGTAGTGATTGTAACAAGGTCAGCCATGTATGGAATAGGAGTTCCCTGATTGGGGCTGCTAATCTGGTCCAATCAGGGAGCCCTCGCTGACAGATATAAACAGGAATGTCAGAGATTCTGAGACTACAAGGTGCAGGGCTGGATGAACACAGCAGGCCAAGCAGCATCATAGGAGCAGAAAGGCTGACGTTTCAGGCCTAGACCCTTCATCAGAAATTCTGCTCACTCTGAGAGCTGGCTCTGAGGGAGCTGGGTCAGTGTCAAGTACTATGCACAAGTTAATAAAGGGTGACTTGGTGACGGGGTACCAGCCTCTGTAGAGTTATTTCAAGAGCCTGCACCACTTCTGTTTTTTTTTCACTGCGCCATAAGAGCCCCAGGACTTTTTATTTTCTGCATAACTGAACGACTTTCCCACCAACAAAACACTGTGACACTTCTTTGTTCTTTACCTATTAACCACCACTTCTTATATTGGAGATACACAAAGAAGGGCTTTTTGATAAATTAATAACCATCCAGTGAAACAACGCAGGGCACCCTGAGGTGGACATGTTGGATGACCATTGGCTTGAAGTCATGTGATTAAAGCAATCCGTCCAATCACAGTTGAGCTAACCGGGCAAAAGGCCTGAAGAGAAATTTGCCACCTCTCTCTCTCTTCAGTCTCTATGCCCCTGCCCACCTGAGGATGTTGAGGGGGACTGTAGAGGAAACAACGCAACAGATAGAAGAGATGTTGTCTTGATTCTTTCTCATCCGTTCACCTGTTTCAGTCGTCCCCAGGCTCCTTGGCCCAAAGGACATTTGTGAAAGCGATGTCTCGCTTTGATAACCATCTTGTGAACTGACAGTTTTATAGCTTAACTTTCAATTCCGGAATCTGTATGTTGAGTTAAATTTCATCAGTCAAGTATAGCGGAACTCCAACCCGTGTCCCAGAACACCTCTGGTTCAGTGACCTGACCACGACACCAGCATCTCACCTGGTTTTGTTGACACGGCTTGTATTCCCCTGAATACAGAAGGTTAAGGATGCTCACACTGAGGGGTTTAGGATGCTTAAGGGATTTGATAGGGAGCTTAAAATGAGACAGTTTCCAGAATCCACAGCAAGCGAGGACAACCTTAATTTCGAGCTATTTGTATAGATGTATTTCGAGCTCATTATAAGTAAGCGTATGGTCATTGCTAATTTGTCCACGTGTGAATACATATTGCATCAGGAAATTGGAGAACTGAACAAGGAATTGCCAATAACTAAAACAGAGATTGACGGAAAAGTTCAGCAGGTCTGGCACATTAGTGGAGAGAAATCAGAGTTAACGTTTCAGCTGACCCAGAACATTAACTCTGCTTTCTCTCCACAGATGCTGCCAGATCTGCTGAGGTTTTTTTCCAGAAAATTCTGTTCCTCTTTCCGATTTACAACATCCGCAGTTCCTTTGGTTTTTAAGTAATTGCCAATAACATTTTAACTGAGGTTTTTGCTGTTGTCTTCATGGTTGGGTATATTAAGTGATCGCTCTGTGGATTTTGTAAGAAAATGTGAATTCTGTGAAGGCTGCACGCTATGGATTATTGTTCCAATGTGAGCTCCATTTCTGGTGTTGGTCGTTTTGTTACATCGACGTATCGTCCTGATTGAAAGATTATTCTCCTCCTCAGAATGATATCACTCCATTACATGTGGCCTCGAAAAGAGGAAATGCCAACATGGTCAAGCTGCTTTTGGACCGAGGATCCCAAATTGAAGCCAAGACGAGGGTAAGTCTGCAACTCCAAATGGCAGTTTCCACAAACCAACCCTCACAGAGAGCAGTGAGGGTACATTTTTAAAAGCTTAACAGAGACAAATAAATTGTGAATGTGTTTAGAACTCATTTGATTCAACTTCGTGATTCTCTTGAAAAATCACCACTGGTGTTTCTCCACTGGCAGATAATCCCAGTGACCAATCATTGATCAGTACTAGCACTGGGTTTCCTGGTTAACCCCAGTGACCAATCACTGGTGTGTACCAGTACAACTCCAGTCTGATGTCCAGTTGGGAAACGTACCCCTTGGGGGAGTCTGCCCTCACCCGTTGCTGTTGAAAGGTACAGTTATCGGATGGTCAAAGGGGCAGTTTGAGAGTTTGGATTACACCAGTGACCTGAGCCTGTTTAAAAGGCCAATCTCTATATGTTGTAATAGGCTGTGAAATTCTCTCAGACTTTCACTGGGGCTGTATTGTAACTTATAGCGTAACACACATACCAGTTTACATCTTTCCCTGTCCACCTCTGTGGAAAACAACCTGCTCTTCATGTTTAAATAAAACAAATTAAAAACATAAATGGCCAGTTAGGGGCACTGCCTTAGGAAGACCTGAGGGAGCTCAATCAAAGTGATGCCGGGGTCGTTGCGCAGGCTGGTTTCCATGGCAGCCACCTATCCCTGAGAAACCCCGAGGGTACGAATGGACAACCTCTTTGTTTCCTGTCCCGGAGACCCTGGGCAGAGAGAATAACCATGAACGAGGGGCAGGCAGTCAGTCGGGGATTGTGACTTATCATAAAGTCCCGGTAAATCTCTGAGTCTTTGGCGGCCTGTTGTGGTTTCTTCCATGGCCCGCTGCCGAGATGTATTAATGGCAGCTTTATCCAGGACCGAGACCACACCCAGCAGGATGTTCCTGCATCTGCCCAGCCCCTACTGCACTGGGCACATGAAGGGCAGGAGCTTGGGGGCTGAAGTGCAACGAAAAGAACAAAAAATCATTTTTCAAATAACTAAAAAGGCTGAGAGACCTTTCACATTGCATGAATACATGGTTCATGGAACCCAGCTCTTAAATACCAAGTCCAATAAGCAACAACTTCACTCAATAAATACTGGGGCTGATCTGGTTACATCCCCTTGATGCAGTGTGCATTTCTAGGTGTGATACATATCTTTCCTGGAACACTCTGTCCTTTGTAACTAAATGGGTTCAACAGTGAGGTGCAGGGCTTGTTGGAAAATCAATTGTACATGGAGCCCAAAGTTCCTTTGTTCCCCCTTCACTCCAAACAGACTCCAGGCAATGTATGGCCAATAGTGAAGGCACAGTTTTATATCCTTTACACTGTAAAGTGTGGCTGGCAATGAGAGAATCCATGCTCCTACTCAACAACAAGAACAGCTTGCATTTGTATAGGGCCTTCAACGTTGTAAAATGCTCCATAGTGTTTGAGAGATCTCTTATAGGACAAAATTTGACCAAGCCACATGGGGAGGTGTTAGCACAGGTAACCAAGAGTATGGACAATGAGGTGGATTTTGAGAAACATCTTATAGGAGGCCCAGGAGGCTTAGAGAGACAGTTCCAGAGCTTAGGTGAAGGATTCACATGGCTCAGCCTGTACACATAAGGAGATACAGACATGGTATGGCACAAGTTCACTTGTTGTTGAATGACAAGCCTTAAGTTGTCAGTATGGTCAGCAGGAATGATATGGTGGAACCCATCTCTTTGTCCTAAATAGTGTCAGCCACAGCTCAGTGAATGGGTGTCCTTGCCTATGATTCAGAAAGTTGTGACTTTTCCTGCTTGGGACTGTGCCATACAGAGGGAAAACTGCAACGTCAGAGGTGACAACGAGACAAGACCCCACAGTGCCCCCCCACCCCCACCATCGCAGCTGGGTGTAAAGAAACAATCTGCTGACCCTCTTTGTGGACAAACAGACTACTTCCTGGTTTGTTGGCCAAGGTTTCTCAGCTAAATGGTCAAAAATCACATGGACGCCAGGTTATAGTCCAACATTTGAAAACACAAGCTTTCAGAATCTCCCTCCTCCTCAGCTAAACGAGCAGATTTGTTGCTGTTTGTGGAAGCCTAAGTCAGTTTCCATTTCCTAGTCACTGCTTGGCAAGGTTTAGCTGCAAGGGGGTGCCCTAAGATTGTGAAATAGGCTTTACAAATTCTCATTGATTTGCTGGATTATACAACAAGAAGAACTGACCCATTCGTATCAAAGTAGTTTTGCAACAACGATGAACAGAATCTTTATTCAGACTGGGCTAAACTCTGCGTTTTCTTAAATAATGCTACCATTAACAATGCTGGATGTAATCTGTAATACAGACAGTCTAATGGATGCCTGCTCATTAGCTACATCGGGACGTGTAATATTCAGAGACCTGCTGGTGAGTGAGCTGTTTTGTCAGGTTATTCGTCCCATTTTCGGTATCTGGAGGGAAGAGCAAAGAATTAATAGGAGGGAGGAAATAAATAACCCTCAAAGTCTTTTCTTTCCAGCCAGCGATGCCCTCCTGAATGTTGTAACCTGGGGGTGGAGGTTAAAGATACAAGGTACAGACACAAAAGCTGATAAAGCTTTTTCATTCTTGTCAGGATGGTCTGACCCCTCTCCACTGTGCAGCAAGGAGCGGCCATGAGCAGGTGGTGGAAATGTTGCTCGATCGTGGAGCACCAATTCTTTCCAAGACAAAGGTATGTCACTCGACAATGGGCCTGAAGCAAGGTGTCAGGTTTTCTTTGTTTCATCTTGAAATAGTTATTGAATCTATGGAACGCTTTATCTGGAGCAGAATAAGCTAAAAACAATACAGGGTGAATGTTGTTAAAGTTTCCTCTGGGTGACTTGGTCCCTGTGTACAGTGTTAAGATACACTCTGATCAGACGATGCCATTCTGACTGGGAGACGTTGTTCTTAGGGTGAACGAGATCAAAGGATATGGGGAGAAAGTGGGAACAGGGTATTAATTGGACGATCAGCTCTGAATGGCAGAGCAGGCTTGAAGGGCCGAATGGCCTACTCCTGCCTTCCAGTGCCAACAAGCACATTTCTCAACTGTGGGTCCAAAACGTGTTGTAATCTGACTGAGGTTGATGCGTAAGGTTCAGGAACCTCCATGCAATAGATTACCTGTATCATAATCCCGATAAAAGCAACAGATTCAAGGCAAAATTCTGTTTGGAAAAGAGTAAGAGTTTGATTTGACGGGGCATCTCGATGCTTGAGAAAACAGGCTCGGAGAGCCCAAAGGCCTACTCTCCTACATTTCCTTTAGTTCACGGTGAAGCCTTCGGCTGTCAACCAGCGCACTTCTCAGCAGTGGACCCAGAAGCAAAAGCCAACGGCAACCTTACTGAGGCTTGGGGATGGGTTTGTGTCGGGTGTCCAGTGGAGGCCCAGTGGTGGTGAGCTGCCAGCACTCGCCGTTGGTGCGCACAGATGGTCTTGGGTGAAGTGACAGTGACAGATACACGCTGCAGCTGGTGAAGCAACGCCCAGTTTGAAAGCGTCACGTCCAGGGTGACAGGAGAGAGAACAGGCCAAGAAAACAAGGAGGATGTCAGTACCAGGGGAGTGAGGCGTTACTGGTACAGTTGATTCCATTTTTGCCTGGTCTCCACCTCTTTCCCTGCTTTAATTGCTTCCGTCTCTTTGTGACTCTCGGGCGTCTGTGAACTAAGGACGTGCATTCTGATGTCTTTTTTTTGCACTGTGTAAAGCTTAGTCTTGGGCCAAGGGATCACATTTCGCTCTAAGAGTGAGGAGCAAATGTCACGTTGAATGCGCTGTTGGTCCACATCTGGATTGAGTCATTACCTTTGATTGCCTTGGAGTGGTTTCAACTTACACAGCCAGCTCTTCCATCAAACTAGCTGACCGTGTAGTGGCGTTGGGTGACAGGAAAATTTACATTTGCCTGTGCAGCCTGACTTTCAGATATTGGGGCAGACAACATTCCTCGGAGTGAGGTTGGACATTTGAGCATGTGACTCCCCGGGGTTTGGGGGCAGCATGGGGCGGGTCTCTGATGGAGGGGCTGGACACATGGACCTCATGTGGAGTTACTGCGGTGACCAATACAAGCAAAGGGTATCGAGGTGAGGGAGAAAGGAGGGAGAGGGTTTTTTGTTGGGAGGGTTAGAGGAAGAGAGGAGGTTTGTGTGCGACACAAAGGATAGCAAAGACCGACCAGGCCAAATAGCCCTTTTCATGTGGCTGTAAGTTCTGGGGAATAAACAGATGTAGTGAGTGAATGTGTTTGTGCCCTGATGTGGTTCTCACTGCCTGTTTGTACTCTGTCAGAATGGGTTGTCCCCTCTCCACATGGCCACGCAAGGAGACCACCTGCATTCTGTGAAGCTTCTCCTCCTCCACGACGTGCCCGTTGACGATGTGACAAACGACTACCTGACAGCACTGCACGTTGCCGCACACTGTGGCCATTACAAGGTAGCCAAGGTCCTGCTCGAGAAGAAAGCCAACCCCAACGCCAAAGCACTGGTGAGTAACCCGTGTGGCTGACCCTCCACAACACAACCCTGGTTCACACAGAACAGAGCCTTCTCCACAATAAAACAAAGACCAGTCGGCCCATCGCGCCTGTCCTGGCTCTTTCAAACAGCAATCCCATTAGTCCCGCTCCCCCTCTCCTGAGCCTCGGAAACTTTGCCTTTTCAGGTCTTTATCCAACTCTCCTTTGGAGCATGACTGTCAAATCTTCCTTCCTCGCCCTTTGTAACAGAGTATAAAACCGATGTTTTCACTTGCCTGGGTCTGGTGGGAATAAAAGTTAGGATGGCACTGGCCATTGTTCAAAGAAAGTATTTTATACAATGTCTTATATAACATCTGTGGTTATGTGAAGTGCTGGAGAAACTCAGCAGGTCTTTCGGTCTCCATGGAAAAAGAATCAAAGTTAACATTTCAAGGCCAACATGCCTCTTCTTCAGAAATAATTCTATTGTTTTAGAAGGAGACGATGTTGTCATGGCGATTTTCCTGGGCTGGTCATCCAGAAACCCTGGTAAATAACAGGGAAACATGGGCATTCCCAAATTTTTAAAATTCTGGAATGGAAACTTAGCCCGAGTGACGGTGACTGTGAAACTGTCACTGTTTGTCACGAAAACCCATCTGGTCCATCAAAGTCCTTTAGGGAAGGAAGCTGCCACCCTTGCCCGGTCTGGCCTACACGTGACTCCAGACCCCACAGCGACGTGGCTGACTTTTGGTTGCCCCCCCATGAAATGGCCCGGCATTGTTCAAACAACAAAGCCCAGTCTTTCCAGCAACTTCCACATGGAAGGAGGGAAGAATATTGTCGACAGACATCAGTCTACGTCAGGCATGAGGCAGGGGCCTTCATCAGTGACCTCAACAGGTACAGGACTTGAGCCCAGGGCATTGATGTTATTCTGCATCACACTCTGGCCCATAGTCACGTGACTAACTAAACCACGCCCCCCACCTCACCCGTTGGCTAATTTAAATTATTGGTCTTTACAGAACCTTGCCATCCATAAATTGGAATAACACTGTGTGGAGCTGGAGGGACACAGCAGGCCAGGTGACATTCGAGGAGCAGGAAAGCTGACATTTTGGGTCGGGACCCTTCTTCAGAAACGTCAACTTTCCTGCTCCTCTGATGCTGCCTGGCCTGCTGTGTTCATCCAGCTCCACACCTTGTTATCTCTGACTCCAGCATCAGCAGTTCCTACTATCCGACCCATAAATTGGCTCATGTATAAACAATGACTACACAACGGAAGATTCCCCTGTGTTTATTGACTTCGATTGACTCCCAGTTGTGCCGTGCCCGAATATTAAAATTCCCATCCTTTTTCCAAATCCCTCCACAGCCTCACTGCTCCCTATCTTTGCAATCTCCTCGAGGCCCATGCTCCTCTGGAATATTTGCGACTCTGCAATCCCGGATTCTTGACCATCCCCGATTTTAACCAGTCCACGCATCTCCAGCCGCCTGGGACCCAGGCTCCGAAATTCCCTTCCCTAAACCTCCCAGATCGCCCTTAACTCCTTTAAAGGTGAAACCTACCTCTTTCGCCAACGTTTTGGTCTGATCAGATTGAATATTGCCTCAGCTGGCTACTGCCAAAAATAGAATGTGCCCTTAAGGTGGTTTTGCTGTGTTAAAGGTGCTACACAAATTCAAGCCATTGTTGTTGCTATGAAGCACTTTGAGATGTTATTAAGAATTCAAGGGAGATACATATGAATGGCAGTTCTGCACGGTCCTATTTCCCCCCCCCCCCCCCCCCACACCACCAAAAAGAAAATCTTTTTGTTTTGGTTTTCTGTTTGCCATATGACTTTAAGCAGAAGTTCATTTTGGGACGTTTCTAGGAGGCACAAAGAGAAAGTGTTGGTATGGAAACCGCTTTGCACTCACTCTGGCTGCCCTGTGGTATAGGGGTCTGCTGAGGCCAACTAGTGGAATTTAATAAATATTACTTCAACATCAGGCCGAGAGAAGCCGGAATTAGCTGTCAGTGACTTGCTGAAGGATTTTATACAACCAGTGTCTTTTGTCTAAGGATAATTGGATGCAGAATGACAAAGGTCACTGTTTTAACACAGGCAGATGAGGTGGGGGGGTGGGGGGGTTCGGGGTGGAGGTGGGGGGGTCGGGGGGTTCAGGGGTGGAGGGGGGAGTGGGGTGGGGGTGGGGGGGGCTGCGGGTGCGTTGGGGGAGACTTTTTGCAATCTCAGCATCCAGAGTTGCTTTATCACAAGCTGTGAACTCGATTTCCAAACTGTTCCAGCAACGAGGAGTTTCTGTTTCAGAATGGGGCAAGGAAAGTGATAGAGCCGAGAAGTGTTCATGAAAGAAACCAACTGAGACAGTATCAGTAATGAGCTGCAAATACCCCAGCAAAGGGCTTCCCATTAATGAGCAACCAAGCTAAAATATATAAGCTTGTTGTGGACTTAACAGATAGAAAAGGAAGGCCAAATGACTCCACGGTTGAACTCCATGGATGTGACCAGTTTATTAAGGAGTTTGAAGACAAACACAGTGTTAGTGATTACCTTTTAAAGTGAGCTTCAATGCATAGAGTTCTCCACATAACAATGAGGTCTCTGTTTTCACCGTGTCAATGCTCCAATTTCTAAACAAATAAAAGGGAGGGCAGGCTCAGCCTGAAAAGCAGGCAGGGCGACGAGTAGGTAAATGATACCTTGAGGGAAAGAGAAAGAATCAGTACTGTCGCAGTGTAAGGGGGCGAGCGTGCTAGTGGGAAGGATTGAATGCTCGTGAACAGACCCTCAAGTTGAAGGAGTTTCGGAGGAGTGTTTTGAAGCTGTGAAAAACACCACTCAGGTTCTTATAGAAAATGCCATAAGTGGCCCATGGATTTGAGAGTTTAACCATTTCTCAAAGTTCTGTTTGTATCATCAATTTTCTCCTTTCTGTGCCTTCAGCTACCAACATACTCCATTCCAATTATCTCTGCCTTTCTGTCTCTTCCCTTATATTGTTCCTTAAAACTTCTGATCATGTTTTTGGTAACATGTCCCAGTATTTGACTCAGTGAACATTGGTCCGTTGTGCACTGCCTTGAGAGGGCTTACTCTATTAGAGGTGTTATATGAATGCAAATTGTTGTTGTAATATGCTGTGGACTGGAGAACATTAGCCCCAGTGTAACTCTTTTTTTACTCCTGTTGGTCTTCCTACTTCCTTTACTCTGCTATAGTCCTGTCCAAATCAGTGTCAGGAAAAAGCCTCCTGACAAAAGAGAGAAAGCCTTTTTGTCTTGAAGTGATCAGTTGAAAGGTATTGAATAATGAACAAGTCTTGAACTGGTGTTGCAGAATGGTTTCACCCCGCTTCATATCGCATGCAAGAAAAACAGGATTAAAGTAATGGATCTGTTGTTGAAGTATGGAGCATCAATACAGGCAGTCACTGAGGTAACAGCAACATTTCTGTGTGCGAGCATCAACACGTCTTTTATTCATTGTTTCTGTGTTTGTATTTGTGTGGTATTGATGTAACTGTTTGTGTGCATTTGTATCTGGATGTTTCTGTGTAAATAGATTGAAATATTAATGGATATGCATGACTTCGTGTATATGTACATTTGTGTCTGTTTCAGCCATTGCCATAAAGCAATGTGCCTGTCTAACATGTATGTGTGTGTGTGAATGTACATATGTGTGCAAATGTGCATTTTTGTATGCATCAATAAATAGGTGCATGTGATTTTGTATGCATGCATGCCTATGATTGTGTTTATATGGGAGAATACACAAGCCCTGTTAGTGCAAGTATATTGAGTGTATGCGAGTTTGTTTTGGCAGCCACTTCTGCCGTAGATTTGGGTGTGTGTACATATTGGTGGCTATGCGTATACGTTGAATCATAGAATCCCTACAGTGTGGAAACAGGCCCAACAAGTCCACACTGACTCTCAGGGTATCCCAACCAGACCCATCCCGCTATAACCCACACAAACCTGGACACTGTGGGCAATTTAGCATGGCCAATCCGCTGAACCTGCACATCTCTGGACTGTGGGAGGAAACCGGAGCACCCGGAGGAAACCCACGCAGGGGTGAATGTGCAAACTCCACACAGACAGTCGCCCGAGGGTGGAATCGAAACTGGGTCCCTGGCGCTGTAAGGCAGCAGCGGTAACCACTGAGCTACCATGCACCCGTACGTGTTTGTGTGTGTATATTGGTCTGTATGTGTTTATGTGTGTGTCAGGATCTGTGTGTTTTTGTGTAAGTATGTTGATCTGTATGTTATTATGTGTGTATCTGGATCTGTATGTGTGTGTGTATATTGGTCTGTACGTTTTTGCGTGTGTATCTGGATCTGTACATGTTTATGTGCCTGTATTGGTCTGTACATTGTTGTATGTGCATATAGATCTGTACAGGTTTATGTGTGTGTTGGTTTGTGTGTGTTTGTGTGTATACAGATCTGTACATATTTGTGTGTTGCTGTGTCTGTATGTGTTTGTGCATATATCTGGATCTGTACATGTCTGTGTATATTGGTCTGTATGTGTTTGTATGTGTGTAGTACAATAACTACCTGTGTAGCAGAGGTGCTGTATAGCCTTATTGAGAGTGATCTCTGTGTGACACACGTTATTATTCCTCACAGTCGGGCCTCACACCTATTCATGTTGCTGCGTTCATGGGACATACAAATATTGTGACACAATTAATGCAACGTGGAGCATCACCAAATACAACAAATGTGGTAAGGAAGCACTTTATCAAGGAAGGCTAACAGTATTTTAACAGCAAACTACTTTGCATGTTTAAATGTACAGTTGAATGAGAAGCTTTGTGTGTTGTAACTAATTGGCACTGTAAACATTTGTATATATTATTCAAAACTGAAAGGGGAAATAATCCTCCGACGTCAACCTGGGCAAAAGTGTAAGCTCTCCTGTCTTGTCAGCCTCTGTCATAGACCAATGGATACACAATGATCGGCAGCATACCATCATATACAGCACGGTGGCTCAGTGGTTAGCACTGCTGCCTCACAGAGCCAGGGACCCAGGTTCGATTCCACCCTCAGGTGACTGTCTGTGTGAAGTTTGCATATTCTCCCCGTGTTTTACGTGGGTTTCCTCCGGGTGCTCCGGATTCCTCCCACAGTCCAAAGATGTGCAGGTTAGATGGATTGGCCATGCTAAATTGCTTGTAGTGTTCAGGGATGTGTAGATTAGGTGGTATATAGGGGGATGGGGCTGGGTGGGATGCTCTGAGGGTCGGTGTGGACTTGTTGGGCCAAAGGGCCAGTTTCCACACTGTAGGGATTCTAGGAATGTACCTTCCAGGATAGCAGGAGGAAAACTGGATGGATTCTGGACCTTTTCTGTACTGAAAGAATTCCTAACAAAATTAGTGTCTGCAAATTTAGTGAGGAATGTGAGCAATGAAAATTAATTCAGAAGTTGTGTCACACACATTGACCCTCCCAACTGTTAGAAATTAAACCATAGTTTTGTGTCTCATTTGAACTGTACAGCCAGATAAAAGGACTAGACTGTTTGCGAAGGAGAAATTTAGTGATATGTTTTCCAAGGCCTTTGCTGATTGCGTGTGAGTGTGATTTGGACAAGCGTGTGACCAAAACAGTGACCCACCCCCACCTTTGCTGGCTGTGGACAGCAATGTTGGAAACCCTGTTCTTGGCATATGTTCAGAGAAAGTAGAGGGTGTAAGATAAAGTTCAGGCAGCCGACTCAGAATTATTTCCTATGCTACAATTTTGACTGAAGACCATCTGTTTTGCAAGTTTTTACAAAAATGCAGAAATTTATTCCCCTACAGCTCCCTTCCCCCTGCCCTATATCCTTTACATGGGGCCACCAAGCAACCATTTGATTGCTCTGGGGAATTGTTTTTAATATCCATTGCATCTTGGAGACCAAGTAGAAAGGGCTGCACTTTGAAGTTCCCTAATTTACAGTGCTGGAATTCAGCTTGACGTTAACTGCTGTTTAAGGTCAGATTGAATAGTTGAATTGAGGAAGTTACAATGTTACTGAGGTGCTGTGAGCAGGAGCACTGGTAAGGCGCTGATCAAGCAGAGCTCTGTAGTTTGGGATTTGCCTGATGTACGGATTCACAGGGACTGAGACCACAAAAAAACATCCTGCCAAGAAACACGAAAGGAAACTTTTTCGAGGCCGCAAACTCTTGATTGACAGGACTGTGGTTCAGGATTTGGCACACAGATGAAAATGTGTGACTTCCTAATTAACAGCCCTTCAATTTAACCTCTCGCTCGCTCTCTCTCCTCTGATTATATAGTATTGTCTAATAAGACTCCATGCCACACAGTTGTAATCTGGGACTACAGACCCAAACTAAGTCAACCATTTGGATTGCAGGCTGCTGTTAAACTGATCCCCGTCTGCCTTATCTGGTGACCTAACCAAATATGATGTGCTGTTCAGAGAAGAGCTGGAAAATTCTATCTGGGGTCACGCCTAATATTTATTCCATTACCGACACCTAAAACTGGTGTCCTGCTTGTTTTTACTGCTGCCTGTGGAAGTTTGCTGTGCCAGTGTTAGTTAGTGTTTCCTGCATTAGCTTCTGAAATAGTTTGCCAGCTGTCAAATGGTTTGAGAAAGGTGCTACGTAAATTCAGATCGGTCTTGCTTCGGAGACTGAGCTGACATGACAAACAGCACAGGCCAGGCAGGTTATGGGCTGCCAAGCAGAGTTTTCCAGCAGGGATTGGAGATGAGGATACCTGCTTTAAAATCACCTGAGGCTCTTATCAAATCTCACCAGAATGGATCTCGTAGAATTTTGGGTGATACAGCACAGAAACAGACCCTTTGGTCCAACTCATCCATGCCGACCAGATATCCTAAATAAATCTAGTCCCATTTGCCAGCATTTGGCCCATATCCCTCTAAACCCTTCCTATTCATGTACCCATCCAGATGCCTTTTAAATGTTGTAATTGTACCAGCCTCCTCCACTTCTTCTGGCAGCTCTTTCCATACACACACACCACCATCTGCGTGAAAAAGTTACCCCTTAGGTCCCTTTTAAATCATTCCCCTCTCACATATGCCCTCTAGTTTTGGATTCCCCTACCCTACTCTATCCATGCCCCCCATGATTTTATAAACCTCTACAAGGTCACCCCTCAGCCTTTGATCGGCCCCAGCCGATTCAGCCTCTCCCTGTAGCTCAAACCCTCCAACCCTGGCAACATTCTTGTAAATCTTTTCTGAACCCTTTCAAGTTTCACACCATCTTCCCTATAGCAGGGAGACCAGAAATGAATGCAGTATTCAAAAAGTGGCCTAACTAATGCCCTGTACAGCCACAATATGACCTCCCAACTCTGTGTGATCGTACCTAAGATGTTGTTCGACACTGTCATTGTTCTGCAACCAGATCCACTGCCAGTTTATGGGAATTTCTTAAGTTGCAGATGACAAAATTCTGAACTGTGCAGAATATTAATTTGTACCCACATAGAATCTGTCATCTAACTGTGATCTGAGGCAGCAATGCAGGCACAGTTTGATTTAATTCTGAGGACTGCGCTTGAGATTTCTTGACTGCTTTTCTTTCTGATTTTCAGGGGCTCCTATTTCATTTCTCTCCAACTCCTTCATGAAATGACGTGATCATATAGTCACGGTACCTTCTGTATTTGTGTTAATGTCTGAGAGATTTACACTCTCACTGAAGTGAAGATATAAACCTTCATCAATATCGGCAGTCGTTAGGAAGTTTCCATTAAAATCAAAGCCACAACCCACAAGGAAAGCATTAATTTGCTAGACGTCACAGTGTTTAAATTGGCACAAGACAACAGGCATAAGTTTGCAAGAAGTGCTATTTTTAAGAAAAGATTGGCACCTTTCTAACCACAAAATCCACCATGCTAAACATGCTTTCCACAGACTGGTGAGGTCATAGATAAACTGTTGCATGTTTGTCTCAGACACAGCCATCGAACCCCAAGTTATTCAAAAGTAATTGGAGATGTGATGTTGCGTAAATACAAGTCTGTATGAAGTAAATGGTTTGATATTAAACTGTCCACTTAACACAGCCATCATTTCAATCATATCTGTTACATTTTCCCTCATATAGTAGTTCCTAAAGTCCTGTACATTCATTTGTGAGGCATTCATTACTTTAGTTTCCTGTCTATAGTTAGATAATTATTCTTTTGTGAAAAGATTTAAACTAGTTTTTTTTCCTTTACAGACCCTCTCCCCCATTTACAGACCCTCTCCCCCATTTACAGACCCTCTACCTCATTTACAGACCCTCTTCCCCCATTTACAGACCCTCTTCCCCCATTTACAGACCCTCTTCCCCCATTTACAGACCCTCTCTCCCCACTTACAGACTGTTCCCCCATTTACAGACCCTCTTCCCCCATTTGCAGACACTCTTCCTCTATTTGCAGATCCTCTTCCCCCCTATTCAGACTCTCTCCCTCCCTTTTGAGACCCTGTCCCCAGTTTCAGACCCTGTCCCCAGTTTCAGACCCTGTCCCCCAGTTTCAGACCCTGTCCCCCAGTTTCAGACCCTGTCCCCCAGTTTCAGACCCTCTCCTCCATTTGCAGACCCTCTCCTCCATTTGCAGACCCTCTCCTCCCACTCCTAGCAGGTGCCCTTGCCCATTTTCCGTGTCCTCCCCTCACACCCTCATTCCCATGAGAACAGAAGTTGCTGGAAAAGCTCAGCAAGTCTGGCAGCATCTGTGGAGAGAAATCAGAGTCGACGTTTCGGGTTGAGTGACCCTTCCTCAGAACCTTTCCCTCATTCCAGCCCTTGTCTGCACTGTGCAGCATCTCCCTTATCCTTTGTCGCCCCTTTCTCCAGGCTATGCAGCCTTAGCTGCCCCCAACCCAACCCAACCCACCACACAGACCCTTGGCCCTATCCACAGGAATACTCTCTAAGCCCTTGCTCCCCCTTCCCAGCAGCCTTTCTTCCTATTCCCGCCCCTACTTCCCCCAACGTTGCTGCTTGCTGCTACTCCTCCAGTTACAGGCTGTTGTATTGTGTCTCACAACTTGTATGCGATATAACTTTAAGAGACATGTTCATTATCTCATGGTATCATGTGACCTGATGGGTTAAAGGTCTCAGTCACCATCTTGCTGGGGCTACTTTGCAGCATGATGTGCTACGAGTCTGTAACCAAATTGCTTAGTAGTACCCTGGACTCAGCGCCTGTGATGGCAATGTTTATAGATACCAGAAGCTGTCAATAAATGTCTATTGAATCTTTCAATACTATCGTTACCCACGTCTGCTCCTTAGGTTAAGGGAGCTAATGTAAGTATCATTCACATGGCAAAGTGCGTCATGGTGGGACCTGGGCTCAATTCCACCCTCAGGCAACTGTATATGTAGAATTTGCATGTTCTCCCTATGTCTGCATGGGTCTCCTCTGGGTGCTCCAGTTCCGAAGATGTACAGGTTGGGTGGATTGGCCATGCTAAATTGCCCCGTAGGGAAGTGCAGGCTAAGTGGATTAGCCACAAGAAATGCAGCATTACAGGGATAGGGTAGGGATATGGGTTTGCTCTTTGGAGGGTTGGTGCAGGTCTGATGGGCTGAATGGCCTGCTCCCGCACTGTAAGGATTCTATGATTCATCGTGCACCAGTATCCTGCTGAAGTTAAAAAGACCACGGCATCTGAAGGCATCATGAAGGCACTGTGTTTCAGGATTAACTGCAGTCGTTCTTTATAAAGAAAGGACTTCCAGATCCTAGATAGCACATCACGTGGCCGCAGTGGGATCAACAGCAATAACTGCTTTTAAAAAAAAAATCTCCCACGATCTTGTTTGCAGATCCTTGGAAAAACCACTGAGGATCAGTGAGATAACAGCCCTGGACTTCAAAACATTTGGAATACGAACAGCAACATGTCTATGTGAGCACAGATCTGCAAATTAGATGGCGCAAACCTAGTACATCTGTCCCTACTTCAAGTACAAGTCCTGTCAAGCTATAAGTTCTGTACTGCTTTTTCCAGAAAAGAAAACAAGCTTCAGCAGGCTTAAAACCAAAATCAGCAAGCAAAGACTTCTGTCAGTTTAAGTACAGAGACCTCCTGTTCAAAGAAAACACCTTAAGCATAGCAATTGGCTTCGTGACCTGAAGAAGCTTACCTGTGTGCAGAGGTAAGTTGGTTCCACCATTTTGTTTTCCCACTTCAAACTTTTGTGACATCATTACTTACTCGGTGCAATTGCCCACTAATGGCTGAAACCTGCTATTACAGCTCACTCTTTACGAAAGTGACATTCCCAAAAGTTATCAATGCTCATCGAAAAGGCTCCAAGACTGCAAAATAAAGTGATGCGAAGCCACAGAAGGGAAAATAAAAGAACAGAATAACATGCCAAGTAATAGAAAGGAACAAACAAGCACTGAACTCCATTTCAATGAAAGAAAAAGGCCCTCAACAAGAAACTGAAGGCAAACATTTCATTTTGGATTGGGCAGTGAGGTCCATCTTCACTGGATATAGGCAATCTACGCGACAAATGCAATTGTACATCATGGATCAAAAAATAAATGACACAGAGAAGAGATCGCTGAAAATCCTACTGGGCGTCAGATAGGTGGCGCTTCAGAGAATAAATACATCTGGTTTTGAGGACATAAGAAAGATCCTGAGAATATCTGGAAAGTACTTGAAGACCAACTCAAGGCATGAATCAACATCCAAAAGTCTCAGACTAATGTCAAACGTGACATGTATCTATTGATGACTTTGTCACTAGATGCTGCAACAAAGGTTATAAGTGTGACTTCTGTAAAGTATAGCTCTCAGAGGGGCTGATTGAATGAGTAATTACCTCTATAAGGATTAAAGCCTTTAAGAAAGATCTTCTGAGCAAGAAAAAAGAGCCATCTCATTGATGCCTTGATGGAGGATGGATACCAGCATCAGGGCGATACGGCTTACACACTCTAGGTCCAGACAATACTATCGCTATGCTCAGCAAAGGGAACCGAGCCAGCAAGATCTGTCCTTAGGGTGGTTAGTCATACCTGACCTCAACCAAGGACATTGGGCATACAAGTGCAGAAAATCTTGTTTCGAGAGCCAAGCCAGAGTCCAGAACAAGATCCAGGTTACCAACAAGACAGTTCAATACCATGACACTGGCAGCAAAGGTAGTCAGAAAACTGTGCACAAATGTAAACAGCAAACAAACCAAAGGGCGAACCTTGAAAATGACCATAGCATCACTCTCACGCAGCCTGCTGACTGTGTAAGGTGATAGGAAGCTTTCACTCCATTCAACATCATACGCCCCCAAGACACCTAGAGAGTCAAAATTGCCACTGGAGCTGTCGCTAATATGCACAGTAAAAGAAGTACTTCAACAAATGGTACCCCACAGTGCAACCTTCACAGGACAGTCTCGCAGCATATCCCAGAATACACCAATTCCATGCAGTGCCACAGTCCCACTGCTGTGCCAGTGTGCGAGTATGGGCTGGCTTCCTCAAACCTTCCAGCTGGTTGATCTTGCCAATGATCCAGCACTGACAGGGCTACCAATGCACATAAATTTCAGTGTTGTCACAGTTCACGAGATTAAACCCACACTCACTCTGGCGGAACGCACCAACTATGACATAATTGTATTAGCCAACAATCTCAGACAGATTATCTGTGTTGCTACTTCTATAATGATCACTCCTGTTGTAAGTCTACAGGTTATTGAGAGAGTGTGTCCAACAGGTCTGAATAATTACATAAATAATATGATCTTGGGTCGTAATTTCACACTATACCACCACCAGGCGAGTTTCCCTCCACTCACCACCCTGACTTGGAACTATATTGCCGTTCCTTCACCGTCACGGGGTCAAAATCCTGGAATTCTCTCCCTTAAGGACATTGTGAGTCAACCTCCAGCATATGGATGCAGCGGTTCAAGAAGGCAGCTCACCACCACCTTCTCGAGCAGTTAAGGACGGGCAATAAATGCTGGCCAGCCAGCAACCCCCCACTTCCCACAAGTGAACAAAAAGATGCACCTGGATAGCTTTGACATGAGCAGCAATGTTAGGGATCGTGCAATACCTCATCTCAAGAATGGTTCAACGCATTCATCAATCCTCCAAGCGTGCACTTTCGGGAGAAGGGACTCCCATCCCCAGCCCTACTTGGAGATTTTTACACTCATTGTACTAAATATTGGAGAAGATCCCCCAAGCAGATCTCCCACTGGACTTTGCTGATCCAATGCTGCCCACTGTAAAAACAGGTGTCAGGCCAAACCTCCTCCTGTAACTTTGCCTCATGGTACTGTGTGAATCAAAAACCAACCATTAACCAGTTTAATTCAGAGCAGCGTGTTCCTAATGTTTTGCTGACAACACCTTCCCCTCCCCAGCACTGTCGGCCAATTCTGTTCCAGGCAACTTGCTACCCATAATATTTATTCATTTGGCCGTCACCACATCCATAAATTATTCAGAATCTCCCTCCATGCTTGCAAGTGGGTGATCCTCTGTGTTGGGAACGTTTGTATATGGGCTGTTGGTTTGTACTAGTGATGGAAATCACAGATCGTTTTTCACAAAAGTGCCTGTTGCTCGGGTTTGAGAGCAAAAGAACAAAGAGCAAAGAAAATTACAGCACAGGAACAGGCCTTTCGGCCCTCCAAGCCTGCGCCGATCCAGATCCTCTGTCTAAACCTGTCGCCTATTTTCCAAGGATTTGTATCCCTCTGCTCCGTGCCCATTCGTGTATCTGTCTAGATACATCTTAAATGACGCTATCGTGCCCGCCTCTACCACCTCTGCTGGCAACGCGTTCCAGGCACCCACCACCCTCTGCGTAAGGAACTTTCCACGCATATCTCCCTTAAACTTTTCCCCTCTCACCTTGAAATCGTGACCCCTAGCAACTGGCTGATAAAAAAGAACCATCCACAGGAATTTTCAGATGCCTGTGTGAACCGGTGTTGAATCTGAGGAGAAAACGGTCAGGTTTTACTGTTCCGTCCTTTGTTGGGATGCGAGTGTCCCATGGCGAGCCTGGTAACCATCGTCCGTATGAATCTGAGGAGAGAATGGCCAGGTATTCTGTTTAATTCTTTGTTGGAATGCCAGGGCGAGGCTGGTAGTCATTGTCCTCAGAAGTTGGTGGTGAGTCACTGCCTTGATCTTCTGAGAGTCATCCTGGCTAATACCTGCTGCTGACTGCACCGATTTGCAAAGGGTAATCAGGAGTTAGGCTGGTTGGTGTGGAATCGAAGTTTTGCAGTTCAGAGGGGTTAGCCCATGAACGGATTTGAGGGAAAGGTTGAGAGTTTTTAAATTGAGGCACTGCCGAGCCAGGAGCACGCCATGAGAAACACAGTGGGGGTGCCGGGAGGATTGGAAGAATCATAAGCAGTGTGGCAAGGGTCAGAGGCGAGCACTATTCCTGCTTCCATTTTGCTGGAGCTGCGCAGTTGTAGAGTGGGTGATGGGGAGCTTTCTCAGTCAGCTGCAGGTTGGAGAGGTACGTGCGGAAACAGGGAGCACCCCCGCTTCCAAAAGCCGTCCGTGCCATCCATCCGATCGCTTACCGAGCAAGAGTCCGGGCCTGCGAGAGGCTCGTGGCTGATCTTTGCTGTAAATCATCCACGTGGCGTTCAGATTGTTTTCTAACTCGTGCCCTTCACCTTCTGTGTTTCAGAGAGGGGAAACAGCCCTACATATGGCTGCCAGGGCAGGCCAAGCAGACGTGGTCCGTCATCTCGTTCAGAACGGGGCTCAGGTGGAGGCCAAAGCGAAGGTAAAGAAAACCAGATCACACTGCACATTGGAAACAGTTCACCAAGGCTGGGAGAGAGCCTTTGACCTATCGATCAAAGTGAAATTATATAACTATTTCGGGGAAGAGAGGAAAGGCCCAAGAGACTTTGCTGTTCCAAACTGTGATGTCAGCCTCGACACTGTTTTATAAAGCTTACTGTATGGCTTATGTGGAAAATATCACCACATCATAGCATATGGTCTGAATCCTATTCAGGAGGCACAATGGCCCTTTAGATACAACAGTTCTGACTTAATTTGGAGACTGATTCAACGTAGCCGCCTCTGAAAATACTTCACCAGTGAACAGAACTAATTAAATGCCACTCTCACGCCTCCTGACAGACACCAGTTGACGAATGTAGCTCCAGTATTGAAATAAAACGGTAACTGTAAGGCTGGACCTGTTAACTACAGGCCGGTTAACCTACTATCCAGAGCAGGGAAAGATAACTGTGAGAGGCACTGTTCAGAAATGTTACAGAGAGCACAGGTATCACTGAGAACACTCACAGCAAACTCAGCAACAGAAGACAGGGTTTCTTATCAACAGGACTGCGTACTTTCAATGATGACTGGAATGGGACATCCCGGGAGTAATTTTGCTGATGACACAAAACTCTTGTGGAAATTTAGCAGATAGAAAGGTGATTTTGAGGGAGAAGGGATCAGATGAGCTGATTTATCTGGGGGGATGTATGTAGATGGAGGTGGCAGGAGATAGGAACTTTGTGAGAATGTGTCCGAATTTAGATAGATTGGTGCGATTCTGGGCTAAACATTGGGCTGCTGGGATGTGTTATGTGTTTCTCATTTAACGGAGCACAATAATGTTACCGGGTGCCAAAATAAGAGATTTCTGCTTGACAGTCGACCCAGCGGAAATGTAAGGCCAGGAAGGTCTAGCCGTGCGGGAATGCTGTGGATAATTCTTCAGTAGAATGGGCCATGCTGATTTATTTTCAAAGGCATTGATTAAAGTGATGCGTCAAAATAAAGGTCTGTGCAGTGTGTCCCTGTCAATAGTGGCATCAAATAGACTGTTCGACCCTACTGAACTGAATTGTTAAAAAAGGCAAACATCACAGTCTGTCTCCAAGGGCTTTCCACAGCAGACATGCACAAAGGGCCTACTGACCACTGACTGCACCCCTGCTCCGCACTGGGCCCCTGCCCCCCGCTCCGCACTGGGCCCCTGGCCCACTTCGCACTGGGCCTCTATCCCCCGCTCCGCACTGGGCCCCTGCCCCGCACTCCACACTGGGCCCCTGCCCCCCGCACCCCGCCCCCCAGTTCTGCACTGGGCCCCTGCCCCCTCACTCCGCACAGGGTCTCTGCCCCCTCTCTCTGCACAGGGTCCCTGCCCCCTCACTCCGCACAGGGTCCCTGCCCCCTCTCTCCGCACTGGGCCCT